TAAATTTTTCTTTAAAAATATGCCTTTCATGTACTCACTTTCACTAAAATGACAATATGATTGCATAGTGCAACGGATATCAGAACTAATGATGCGGGTCGGAACGATCTGGAACATTTGGATGTCTTTCTAGGATAGTAAAAAGCTCTCAAGCTCTCTCTCTCTCTCTCTCCATTTTCGGAATCGCACTTTCTCGTTGAAGTGAGTCCAGTTCGATATTGTTTCTTTTCTCTCCGCTGAACACCCTCTCTTTTATGACTCCTGGCTATTTTTAGCTCACCTGAGCCAAAGGATGAAGTGAGCTTGTGATAGAAATATGTCCGTTGTCTGTCGTCGTCGTTAACTTTTTACTTCATTTTCCTCCCAAGAAACACAGGGCCAATTTCAAAACAAACTTGGCATAGAGTATTCTTGGGTGAAGGGATTCCAGCTTTTGATAATGAAGAGCATAACTCTCTTTCAAAGAGAGATAATTAAGAATTCGTGAAAATTTGGTGGCATCTTTTAAAAATCTTCTCAAGAAAAATATACTGAAACGCAAAAGAAACGCAACAAGCAGTAATCTACAAATATTTGAACCTTTTAACTAATGATTTTCAAAACTGATTACAGTTAAGTTAAACTTGATTTAAAAGCATCAAAGATTTGATAACAATGTTAAATGATTACCTTTTAACTTTAGAAAGTAACACCTGACTGTTAAAACACCCCCCCCCTTCTGAGCCATTCAATTATAGCGTGGAAGACTGCCATGCACAACAATTGCAGCTTGATTTCCACGATGCAATAAGTTCAACAATCTCGGGATCTGAGCGAAAAAAAATATTCTTTGCCATTTTTAAATGTCCTTTTTTCAGTCGAATTTTCTCTACCCTAGCGCAGTGTAGTAACACTTGGACTTCCGGTCCACGGACTATCATTCATGCTAATGATACGTATGAGCCTGTTGAGGCGTGTTGTCGTGCATTTTTGCATCTGCAATTCTCCATCACCTTTATTTTCAGATTTTCCAGCTAGAGCACTTGAAATGCGTACTTAAGTCATTTTCAGGAAGCCTTGGCATCTCTTCCGGAAACGAAAGGAGAATTTATTTTGCGAAATATTGCTGAATTACTTGTGTTAAACAGATACAAACCCTTAAAACCCCATATGTTTGTCAAATGTTTTTTTTGATTTCTGTTCAGCGGGCTCAAACTTAACTTCCGGTTATGGCATGAAAATCATTCAACCGTTAAATTATCGAAACTTAAAATGTTGAAGATATCCGTACTTTTTAGATACAAAATTATATCCTTTATATGATTTTCCCCTCTAAAATAGGATGTTGCGTTTCTTTTGCGTTTCAATATATATAGTGAAAATCTTTCAAAATCTTCTCAAGAGTAATCCAAGTACTGAAATGTACTACAGGGCGGAGGCATGAATAACATGTTTTATACATTGCACAATTTCATTATCTGCTTTACAAGTGAAATTGATTAAACAAATTAAGTTATACGCTGTATCAGATATAGTGTAAAGCACCTTTTATTCGCGTGTTAAGCATATCCACGAGTTTTGCAACCTTCTGTCCATTCTATGAGAGAAGGAACCAATCGAGGCCGTAGATCTTTGTCTAAAGAATGGACAGTTACAGAGTGTCTTCAATTCCACCTATTCCCACTTGAAAATAACAATTGATGTTTTGATAATTAATTTAAATATCTGGATTTTAGAAATAAAATAGATTTACGAAGCAAATATGATTTAATGCATTTAAAGGAGTATTCTACTTAAGTATAGTAGTCTGGTCCCTTTTTACACCCTTGGTTTTCCGGTTAAATATCAGCATACAGTATTTTGTTTGTTTTCATTGTGTATAACGAAGTATTTCTAATTAAAACATTGTGTATTTATAATGAAAGATTAAACATATTAAAAAAAAAATACAAGTCTATTTTTAACACCCATAGCACTAAAAAATGCCGGAACATTTTCCCCCGATCAGACTACGATTTCTCTATTACATGCATTTAGATTAGATACTATAAAAAGAAGATCTTGGTATGATATTTTTCTTTCAAAGACGAATTATATGTTCAAGATTCACAATCAACTACAAATACAATTTTCTATTCACAAAACTTTGGCAATAAAAGCTATAAGATGAACCAAACAAGTCCATGCTGATCGATATAAAACTGAGTACGTTTCAACTGAGAACTAGCACATTTACTGGGGGCATTTACCCGTAACGATACAAATCCACAGGTCATAAAGAGGTTAATCGCATGTAAATGAAGTCAGCGAAGAGATTCAAAATCACAATACTTTTAATCAGAAAACATAGAGCACACGGTTGTTCAACAAAGATATTTTCACTCAACCTTTACACATATAATATACACATTATATTTCAAACTCGACTCTGAACAAACCTGTATTCAGTGTTTACGAAAGCTTTGAAGTGTGTACCTGTCACTGATTTCTTTTGATATTCATGAAAATCAAAGGACCCTATCTTTAACACGCAGCTTCGTATGCTGCCTATATCTATTGTTTGACATTTTTAGATGATGATTCAAATAATAAAGACATTAGTTAATAATAAAATTTAATTTTTAAAAATGTTAATAAATATTCGAAATTTGACGAGTAAACGGGGATCACAGATAAGCCTTACTGAGACTTAATTGTTCTTTCTGCTTTTTGAATATGTAAATCTAAGAGAGAAAATAAATGGCCTTAGGATATTTTTTTTTCATTTAATTTGCTTAAAATTAACAATATTATTTTAGCCTCAGATCAGATTTACTATTTTAAAAAAAGCGAATTTACATGTCCTCCATCCCAACAGGAGTTAATTACTGTTTACTAGTATACAGTATTTGTATGTTTATACAGTTAATTATTTGTTTATACACAAGTATTTCACCTATTCCCACATAAAATTTTACCTTGTCCTACCTGATTTTCTAAAAGTGGGAATAGGTAGAACCAGTTACAGGTGGATTTTGGGGAATAATAGTATTTATAAAAGTATGCGATGCTTCAAAATCAGTTTATATTTTGCGTTGAAAAAACATAAATGTTTTCCTTTGATAGAGAGAGTGTATAAAAGAATCAAAATCTAATTAACCAAAAGATGCACAAAATCAATGATATCTGGATCTGGAAACAGAGCTGAAAATGTATTTCAAATCAAATCTGCAAATGTTTCAATTTTGATAATTTTCCAAGGAAATATCAACTGCAGCACCGTGTGGTGTTCATGGTGCAAACTGCATGTGTTCTGGGTGGTGGTAATCTCGGTGGAGATTCGGCTCGGCTAGATACTTGGTCTGACCCCTTAACCGAATCTCCATGTAGCATCAACTTATTTGTCAGCAGTCTGCCTCGGTTTTAAAACAGATCGTATGCAGGTCATGATCTTGAGTATCGAATAAGTCATGAAACATAAACAGCATATTCAAGTGATAGTGGAATATAACTACATGTACATAAATAAGGAAAGTTGATGATGGAAAGCTGTTGTTTGTCCTAAAATTTAGTTGTTGGGTGGCCTTTATCGTCTATAGTTAGTAAGACATCCAAATATAAAACAGATGTGGCAGACTTTGTGGTGTCTTTCATGTAGAATTCGCTGGGATGTACCGAGTCAGCATATGAATGGAAGTAACTATTGTTAATTGATAAAAGTCATCAATATATATTTGAATGTCGAGTTGGAGGCCACAGCAAGTGGCCTTCGTGTGGAACTTTTTGAATTAATTCTGCTTCAAAGGAATATAAATATAGAGGTCGGCTAATAAAGGAACACAATTAGAGCCCATTGAAATTCCTACATATTGTTGAAAGACCTAGTCCTCAAAGACTACGTAAATATAGTTGTTGTCAATGAGGAACTCAAGTTTTAATATCAACTTTAGAGTACTAATGTATAGAACCAGAGCGATTTTTACGAAATAATTTAGTAGATGACCAGTCACAAGATATGAAAATTTCTAAGTTCAATTGAAGAAGTAGCTGTCTTTGATTATTGATATCAAAAAGCTTATCTAGTTTTTAAGTTATCGCGAGGAAGGGTTGTATAAAGTGTGGAAGGGTTGTATAAAGTGTGGAAAAGTCGAATACCTTTTGATGTTACTGGCTTTCGATCGAAAAGTTTCATGATTTTAAATTTTCTAAAACTTCTTAGGAATTTTTGAAAATCCACATATGATTTATACCACTTCTGGAATATCCTGTAGCACAGTCAGAGTATGGAGGTTAATCTCGGCCTTCCTGATTAATGCCTATTTCCGGAACTGTGCCTAACTGTCTTAAACTAAAATAGTCCAAAGAAAGTACAGTGCAGGGGATTTTCAGTTGCTTATTTGCAGAAGTGTTGGATCTGCCATTTTTCCTCGGGTGGCACTAGATCGGAAATTTATTTTCAGTTTGGGGGACACCACCCAAAAATTCAAAATTTCCTTGACAAGAAAAAAAGGTCATCAGATGTTATTATTCAGGGGGCACAAGCATATAGTAGCTATGTTTTCTATAGTATTCTATAAGGCGGCAAAATTGGGGGGGGGGGGCACCTCCCGATTCCTGTGAAGATGAAATCTTTAAAAAAAAATGAAGGTTTTGCAATGAAATTTTAGATGTAAATTGTAATTCCCCATGACTTAAAGAAATGAGGACAAAAGGTCAAGGAAACTAAGTAAATTCATATAATGCATAAAATGGAATCCAGATGGTGATTTGTTCTCACTGAGCTTTGCAATGAAATTCCTGTGACTCAAGCAAGGGTAGATAGACGTCTCAGCCCAACGACACCTCAGCCTATCACGTTATGATAAGAAAAAAAACCTATAATTTTTCTTTTAAAATATTTAACAAACAATCGAGTGCGAGAACAACTCAACTTTGCAACTCAGAAATGACTATATGGTCAGCAAGTTGATCAGACTTCTGGACATTCCGATTGCATGGAGTTAAGATGGTCAAATTGTTGATAACTATAATTTCAATTTACCTTTGTGTCATATAAATTTATTACATCAATAACATTTTATACATTTAGCATAGAACACACTGGTCAATATCATGTGAATGTTTTACCAATAACTCTCCAGTTCATCATTTTTATACATAGATCACAACCTCTAACATTTGATTAATTTTTAAAGTAAGCCATAATCAGAGACAGGTAGCAATTGCCCTGTAATAATCATAAAGGGCAACAACAGAGAAACACGATTTACCAATAATCTTAAAAGTGGAAAAACAACAAGTTCCTCAAAAAGTGTGATCAGTAGATAAAACTTGCTGTTCACCAAAATTATTATATATCATAGCTTAATTAAAAAAAACAAATTGTGCTACATTGTACAAGATTTAATATGCATATAAATAAAATAAAATTTGTGATGCTATAGAACATTTATAGATAAAATACTAGTATATAACAAAACTTAATTAACATGACAATACACAATGCAATATTTTGTGTTGGAAAATTGAGCAATGATGCATGGTATATAAATTAAACAGTATTTACAAGCATTACAGTGGCTTTAAATTACATTTTATGAAATATGTACTAATACAAAATGTGTTGCTAACTGTATACTATGTAGAATTGAAATACATGTATTTCCATTTGAAAAATTAAATTTCCAAGTCCAGATACAAAAGCATCTGTTAAATTTAACACACACTTATTTATCTGCTAATGCCATGTCAATTAAGGAGTTAATTATCTGTCAGTTAAATTAATGAGCGTCCATGTAAAGCGAACCACTAGTTAGAGAACATTCAAATAAGTAGATGGAAAGTGAGCTACTATTGTAGAAATTGGAACTAACTAAAAACCTGAACAAAAATAAAATTCCAGGCACAGTGAAATTTTAAAACAGTGTATAATAATTAAAAGCTATTTGAAAACAACTGGCTAGAAATTTACAAGGAAAAAAGGCCAGTCCACATTAGATTAAAGAAATCCATATCTACTAAACCTGGATTACAGTAACCTGCAATATATAATCCAGGTTATAGTGTGGACCTTCTGACCTTACAGTGAAATGGCTGTCAGTGAAACAATGATGACATCACAAGTTTAAGTTATGTGAATTAACCTTCTAAGGATGGTTAACTCTGTAGTGTTGAATGGCCCTACTTCAAAAAAGAAAGCAACCCAAAAAAGTTTTTTAGTGAAAGTATTTTGAGTCATAATACAAAGTTCATCAATAAATAATACAAAGTTTATCAATCCCCTCTGTAAACAATATTTATCTGTCAGCTGCCTTTCAAGCTATTTTTCCATAAAATATAATACAGTAGTCAGGGCATTATATTTTAACAGAACCAAAGCTTTAACTAACTGTAATATTCAAAGCATTTAATTTCTTACTCATGATTATTAGCAAATTGCTTTCTTCATTCCATAAAATAACTATACAAAATAACAGCACACATCTGACATACAATGTTACAATATATCATTAACACATACATTTAAAATGCAAAGGGAGATAATATCAGAGTTTAATTCACTAAATAAAAAGATCTATTGTGATAGGATTTCTTAAATACACTGTGATAGACATGAAAAAGGATACTTTGTAGAAAATATGCCTAGATCTATAAAATATTTCAAAACCTATAGCATATATTTCATTTTAAAAACTATTGCACAAAAAGATATTCAAATATATGAGAATATAATTGAACATGAACATATACTGTTGAATTGAATATTTTGAAATTCAAAACTGAATAAGACCTTTCACTTTACACAAAGAATACACCAGTACTAAAGACTACATAACAACCAGGTCTACTGTTCCTCTTCAGATTATTTATATTCTGGGAAGTACTTCAAAGGTTGATAGCAGATATCCTTCTTTTCACTTTGTTAAATGTCAAATATACAATCTGTATAAATGTCAAATATACAATCTGTATAAATGTCAAATATACAATCTGTATAAATGTCAAATATAAAATCTGTATAAAAGTATATCAAATACATCAATATATCGAATATGGACAGGGGCTTAACTAGGTTGTGAACCTCTACCTTTCAAATATCCCAGTTTTCATAAGTCCCACCAAAATTAAAATTCATTGTATTCAAGTCTGACTTCATTTTTGAAAAAGAAATTTTTCGCCAAAATTACATTTGATGACCACTAAGAAGTACCTCACTTTTTTTAATCAGGACCTGTAAAACTAACATTAACAAATAGTAATTAGTAGCATTACTCTGCAAGAGATCCCTTTCTATATTTTCGTTGTTGAAACTACAAAGCCGAGCTTGTACTGACAGTAAGTTCTCTACAAAGAGATTTCATCACTCCTGCTTGTACTTCATCAGTCCATCTCATCATAGCGAGCTCTTTTTGAGTCCGACTCCCCGTCATCTTCTGGGTCATCCAGGATACCCAGTCCAGTGGAGCCCCCCAGCCCCGAAAGAATATTGAGAGGGACGTTCATTTTGGAGTCCGACGACTGAGCTAGCGGATTGTTACCTGCCCCCTTCTCTATATCAGCTAAAGCCAGGTCGAAGGCCTGAACAACTCGCCTGGCGTTATCACAAGTAAAGCACATAGGAGGAAGTAAGGTCATTACGTTCTTATCCGGTCCTTCATTAGCAATGATAATCTTCTGTTCCTTCAACCTAAAACAAAGAAATACAGATATATCACATATATATGTCCAGACTGACCCTAACAGTAAAAGCCTTCATTAAAATCCATACCCTCCTTATTTATTGCAGAACTTTATCAACAAGAGACCCAAGGACCTGGAAGATCACCTGAGTATAACATCTTAATATACCTCATGCCTTCACTATTGAGGGGAAAAAGTTATTCATACAATTTGAAAACTTTTCTATTAAACAACTAAAGGCTTAAAATCTGTAAAAGTTTCACTGTAATCATTTATAACTCCTAATTATGCATAAAACATTGGACTATACTTGTAGGCCAGTATCTCTGCCCCCTCTTTGGATGGCTTTCTGCTCTCTTTGTCTGTCACGATCTCTATCCCTATCACCATTCCTGTCCCCCGGATGTCCCCCAACATTGGGTGGTTTGGGGCAATAGCCTTCATCCCATCCATCAAACACTTTCCCACATTTCTGGCACTAGACATCAGTTTTTCATTGTGGATCACATCTAACACAGCCATTCCTACAGCACAGGCCACTGGGTTTCCTCCAAACTATACATTTAAACAGAAAAATGTCAGCCATTTTCCTGACTGAAGTAAATAGCTATGCAGTGTGTATTGTTTAACTGCATTTACGTTGATGGTTCAAGTATCTTTTTAAAATCTTAAGTAAATAAATTGTCACGAATTTCTCAGAGTATAAGGTTTAATTAATGTCAAAAATACACGAACAACACAGGAAATTATCATTTTAAAGGCACCATTATATTGTACATACTGTGCTATTGAATTCCCCGATGCTATCTGCGATTTCTTTTGTTGTCACCACCATTGCCATTGGGTGGCCATTTCCTAAAGGTTTACCAACCGTTAAAATGTCTGGTACTACATCTAATAAAGAGGAAATAGATATTCTCAAAGGTGGAGAAATTCTGTGAGTCAATTTATGATCTTCTTTTATAATTTCAGGTTCATACCAATATCACTGCTTTAAACTTACAACCACCTCTTGCAAAAAATAAGGACCCATCAATACTGAACTAGTATCACTGATCAATACAACACTCGTTAACCTCAATGTTCTTACATGTAATCATTGTGACACATCTTATTACATGTAATCACTGTGACACATCTTATTACATGTAATCATTGTGACACATCTTATTACATGTAATCACTGTGACACATCTTATTACATGTAATCACTGTGATGCATCTTATTACATGTTATCATTGTGACACAAAATATTACATATAATCACTGTGACACATCTTATTACATGTAATCACTGTGACACATCTTATTACATGAAATTATTGTGACACATCTTATTACATGTAATCACTGTGACACATCTTATTACATTTAATCATCATGACACATCTTATTTCATGCACTCATTGTGACACAACTTATTTTATGTAATCACTGTGACACATCTTATTACATGTGCTCATTGTGACACATTACATGTAATCACTGTGACACATCTTATTACATGTAATCATTGTGACACATCTTATTACATGTAATCATTGTGACACATCTTATTACATGTAATCATTGTGACACATCTTATTACATATAATCATTGTGACACATCACATCTTATAATATCTTTCAGAGCTTCAACTACTGAAATTTAATTTTTTTTCCTTTTTCTGAAATGTGGGCTCTATTTCAAATGTTATTAATCAAACCATTATACCAATTCTTAAAATATTAGCTACCTATATATCTAGACTTGGGTCATACACTTACAAGTAGCCCTATACTCTGTCAATATATCAATCATATGTTTTAAAAGGATGACAAACATTTCCAAAATGTTCTTGGTAATTTTTAAACTCAGTCAATGGCATATATAAGGGTTACTACCATGCATCTGGAATGACCAGAAGGATTCTCCACATCTTCCTAATCCAACCTGGATTTCATCAGCGATACAAATACCTCCATTGCTCCTCACAAAACTGAAAGGTCAAAGTCAAATATATCTTTTTAAATTACATCAATATTTCACACCATAACTAGAATAAAAACATAGGTAATCAAAGAATACAAAGCTCACCTCAACCAATGTTACCTATAAGAATGACAAAGTCTCATCATGCATCCCTTGATGCATCAACAATGCAAGTTTGGTCCAAATGGGGCTTATAATTACTTGAGAATGGACCTGCTCCAGAAACTTTAACCTGTTCAATAATCTAGAAAATGTAGGTTCAGATCTGACATTTGAAGCAAGTCTGAAAGTGTGCATCCCTATATGCATCATCCAGGCAAGTTTAAACAGCAAAGGGATGATATTAATTGGGAATGAGACCTGCTACAAAAACTCCAAAAACAGTTTAACCTTATCATTCTTCTTGAAAATATTTGCTGAAAGTGCAGAATCTGAAACCCTACTGATACAACTAAACATATTAAATCCATCATTCATGCAACTCTGTTCAATAAAGGGCACAGAGCTATTTTTAACCAAAACTACTCCAAAACTCTGAAATCCAAAAGGGTAAAGCATAACCCTCCCCTCCCTCCCACTTTGTTGACATGGGCTAATAAAACTAAGCTCAATATCATTCATAAAAATTTTATATGTGAATCTAAAATGTGAAGTATTTTAAAAACATTTAAAACCTGAATTTTGTTTTTAATAAATTAGATATGTTCATTGATATACTAGTAAAATCATGTTTACTAATAACTTTTAAGTCACTCCTACACATACTTTCTATTGGGGAACGTGAAGCATTTATTTAGCTAGTAGATGTTTATCTCATAAAATCAAAGTTGGTTTACAGTCAGGTAAATCTTTCTGTAGTTTGGGGGCTGTGGTGGTGCCAACTGATGACACTGAGTCAATACATCATACAATCATTATAGTTTACTGATATTGTTTTCCCCCTGTCAATCTGATATAGAAATATTACAACTACATCATACAAGCACCTCTTTAATCAGTTCTTTAGAAAAATTGCTGTTACCTCTGCAATAACACCTAATGAATATGGGGAACATTCAAATTTCTGTACATATCCACCAAATAAAATTCACTGATAAATAATGCTTTGTGTATTAATATATATGTTTCTCCATCATCCTATAAATACTTGAAGAGTTTTCCTAACAAGGCTCCCCTCATTTTGGTTGAATACAAACTGCAGTCACTGAAATGTAAAATGGAGTTCTGATGCAGCATCCACTGCACACATGCATTAGAAGAAAACAAACAAATGTGTTCAGGTTTGACTTGTATATCACTTGTGATAAGTGTTAAGGTTTGACTTGTATATCACTTGTGGTAACTGTAAGGTGTAATTGTATATCACTTGTGGTAATTGTAAGGTGTGACTTGTATATCACTTGTGGTAATTGTAAGGTGTGACTTGTATATCACTTGTGATAAAAGTTAAAGTTTGACTTGTGTATCACTTGTGATAAGTGTTCAGGTGTTACTTGAATATCACCTGTGGTAAGTTGTATGGTTTTTGTATATTACTTGTGGTAAATTGTAAGGTGTGACTTGTATATCACTTGTGTTAAGTGTTAAGATGTGACTTGTATATCACTTTTGGCAAGTGTTAAGATGTGACTTGTACCGGGTATATCACTTGTGGTAAGTGTTAAGGTGTGATTTGTACATCACTTGTGGTGAGTGTTAGGGTGGGACTTGTATATAACTTGTGGTAAGTGTTAAGGTGTGATTTGTACATCACTTGTGGTGAGTGTTAGGGTGGGACTTGTATATAACTTGTGGTAAGTGTTAAGGTGTGACTTGTGCATGACTTGTGATAAGCTAGAATCATGCCTAAAACTGTCTTTAAGCAGGGTACCCAAAAATATTTTAACAAAATTAGATCATTAATCCACTCACGTACATATTCACACAGAAATAATTTGAGATTGAAAACAAATGTAGAATTCAGCTACCGGTGTGTGTGGATGTTTGTTTTGTATATTTCTTATGATTAGCTTAAAACAGACCTAAATTCAGAACTTAACAGAGCTGATTCCATGCATGCATCTGACAAAACATCCATAGTTGTACCATATGTTCAAGTTTAATTTTGATACTGTGATGCACCAGGAATAGATCTTAATGAATATATAAAATATTCCTGTATGTCAAACAGTTGTGTTAGACTAAGCATCCATAGATGCACCATACTAGAAGTTTGGTTTGAATACTATTACTGATAAGGTAGAAAGATGCCAAAATACATTTACAGATCATGTGATCGTCCCATCCCTCCATTGCTATTCATGTACATATTAGTCTACCTTAAAATTTTCACTTTTTGTTACCAAAACTAGATTCGAATTACAAAAAAATTCTAATGAACAATTGAAAAATAGGCTGCTATGTATGTATACCATGACAAAGACAGAGTGAAAAATTATAAATAGAGTATTGTACTTATTCTATTGTATTCAAACATTAGTGCATTAGTATGTCATATGGCCGAGACATTAATATAAGAGATTCGCAACTCTGTCATTATCATAAACTTTTTCTTAAATATGTGATGTTCCCAGCATTATTCTGAAAAAATTACTGGTCATTTCATCATTGTGGTTAGATTCAATATTTGAAAAAAGTACCAGTAAAGGGCTCAAGAGATATTGCAAGATTTTGAACACTTACAAATCTCTGTCATTTATGTCTCTAGTCATAGAGAGGTAATTACAGTGATGAACTAGTGCTTTCTATATTTACATTCATACTAAACTTGAGGAATTTTTTTATTTAACTGTTATTATTTGATTGCATTAAGGCACTAACATGTAATTTAAAAAAGTACACATACAGAAATCAAACTACCACAAAAGTTAAAATATAAAGTGAGCAGAAAAGAAGGATTACGTGTCATGAAATCCAATGTTACCACAAAGCGTAATAAGGAAACATCTGACTACAGTGGATCAAAGCTTCCAATTTAAAAACTTGAATACTAGAGGTATCTACACAACTTCTGTCCAAATCATGCAATCCATTTCAGAAAGTTCTGGACAAGACACATACACAGTGGAAGAAATGCCCCTTGCCAGTGACTAGCAGGGTAGAGATTATTCTTTAAATGAGATCTGTATACATAGAAACATTATACAAGAAATAACATAGGAGAGTAAACATGGAGAATTTTGTATGTGTACTTATTTTAGGTGTATTCAATAGCTAGAATATACATAGAATAGGGACTATGTGACGAGACATGAATTGGCTTTATCAATTTTTCTATATGAAATCTTTATATAAAATAATATTTTTGCTGTTTGTTTGTGAAAAAAACATGAAAGATTGCAACAAGGATTTCAGAAAATGAATCCAGTGAAAATAAGTACACATAAATACTTGTAGAACTCATTACTAGTTATGTTGGTTTTTGAACAACAGTTTGTTGGTGAAATTGACTCACACAGCCAACACTACTGACAATATCACAGTCCCTATATATAGTACATGTAGCTAACTGGAATCAAAAGCCATACAATAGCAGCCAATCCTCACAAGTATATAGGTATACCACAACAAAACAACAATCTTTTTAATATAATCATACACTGAATATTTATTATTTGCTCAAATCAGCAATCACAAATATTTAATGCTCTTTAATGTAAAATATTTTTGAGGAACACAGTGATGCAGAATAGTAGTAACTAGTAACCATCATTCTTCAAATCAACTTCCTCTCCATATACGAAATCAAATCTTCACAATATCAAGAATATACTGATCTAAAGGGCTTGTTTTAAGTACATGACTTTAATATAACACGTGTTACTCACTGAATCTTAAGGATAATAATTCTGTACACTTGTAGGTATTATAGCTTCAGCTCTACCTTAATATCACATTTAATGCCATACAAAATTTTATATGTCCTGTGGTGCACATAATTCCATGAATCAGAGCCTGTTTTTATGTATAGACATTGTGGGGGTAGCTTGATTTTGTGAAGAGATGTGTACAACTAGAAGCAGTTAGGGCAGAACAGAGTATTTGATATGTCACATCACAATCTACTGACTGACCTGTACACCAACTTTAAGTAGTTCTTGGGTGGAGTTATCACCCCACATATACTCATCAAAGGTTCACTGAGAAAGCCCGCAATCTGTAAGCATAACCAGAACAGTTAGGACCACGTTACCTTGACTGCTTGATATCCACCGCTGCCTCAGCGACCTCAACTTATATATCCATTCCTCAGATTTCAAGTCCATACCAAACAAAAATATATGTTAGGAGTCATTCTACAATTTTTATTCATGAAATTTAAATGCAATGGCACATTTTTTTTACTTACGTAGGGAAAAGATTTTAATCTGTGTGGTCTAGAAATCATAGGAAGGAATAAGCGCTTACCAGAACTTGCTACACATAAGAACATGCACTATCTACACCCTAAACAGCATACCTGTAAACCAATTTCAAGTATTTGTTTGGATACATAATCACCCCTCCGCTGGTCATTAAGGGTTCAGATATAAAGGCTGCAACCTGAAAACATACCATAATTACTGCATCATGATAAAAGGTTACAAAATAAAGTCTAACTCTACAACTGGATTGGATTATATGTGTCTCTAAGTGGCATCCAACCAGAAGTGTAACCCATCTTATTTATTCTCCCTAAAAAAGTCTTACAAAATATCTCTTCACCTCAAGGTGTATTTTTATACACTTGACGCCAACATCAAATTGAATCAAATTTCGTTCTATCTGTGCTAGTAGATAGTAAGTTGCACGAGCAAGATTGCTCAAATGAATATTTAACTAGTGCTGAGAAGTTTTCGTACACATTGCCAAAAAGTTGGGCAATTATTAAATTACAGCTATATTTCCCGGTTTTTTTCACCAATATGATCTACTCTCTTCATAAGTTACATGTGCACAAATATTCCTGTCCCAAACTGTATTTTTATTGATTTTTTTTGGTAGGGATCTCAAAATTGTCACCAATTCATATTCGAATATTCTGTAAGAGTATTCAAATATATAATACAAATACTCAATGAAATTATTAAGTCATCCTTTTATTAATTTAATACTTTTCCAATAAATTTTGCAAGAGTTATCTCTCTTTTGTGGATCCTGAAAAAAGAAATGAATATTCAAATCATAAATTCATATTCGAATATCAACTCATCAAATGAATATTCAAACATTCAAATATTTGTTGACATCCCCTTTTTTACTGCACAATACACATGCATGTGTTATTCCTCTCTGTAGAGACTTAAAATTTGCATGATGTCCTGTTTGAGAATAAATACCAGTTACTTAAACACTGTCATTTACATCCCAAAAAATAAGAATGATATAAATTTCATAGGTATCATATTGAATACTGAATTAAATCACTCTAAATTGTCAGTAAAAATGTCATTTACCCCTGCTGAAAGAAAGATGGAAAACCTGTATGAACCTCTATAGTTTGAAATATGAAAGAAAAATGCTTTGTCTCAGAACTTTGAATTTTAAAACAATATACAATGCATGTCAAATCTGAAATACAAATAGAAACCATTATTGTCCTGTCTGGACCTGTTGACTTGCATATGTATTATATGCCTTTTATTGTAAAAGCAAACATCACAAAAGCAGGTATATTTTCATTTTTCTACTGTAATTTACTTTATAAAACAGATTATTATATACTAAGCAATAAATGCAAGTTTTTAGCATATGCCTGACATCCCAGTAGCTGTGTCAGTATTACTGATCCATAATGTATGCCTTTGCCATGTATTACTTTGCCTTAATGTACCTCTAGCAGAACCTCTCTATTTGCTTTGGAACTTTTTCTTTTGTTTGTTTTTCCACTTGAGTAAATTATGTTTTCAACAGACTAAACTAACAATCAAACATCACTTAAATGGATAATATAATTTAGATATACAGTTTAACTTCAGTATATCAAACTCAGATATCTCAAATACCATGGATATGTCAAAGTCATTTTGCTTATTCCTGCTTATTCCTCAAGTATTTTACCCTGGATATCTTGAATCTTCAGTTATCTCGAAGTATTTTCTCAGTCCCTTCGAGATTGAGATAACAAGGTTTGACTTTAGTATAATTTTATTTGTAAACCATTTCTAACAACACTTGTAAGATATTCTGACTATGATCAAAAATGATAAAATATGGTGAATTTTTCCTTTCTTTCTATCAAATTTGTTGTAAGAAGTGTTGTTAGAATTGGTTTACAAATAATATTATAATGTACTGAAATTATTTTTAGTATTTGTATGTTATTACTAAGGTATGTAATAAATAATAAAACATACAACTTTCCATATCACAACTGGCATCAGTCCTCGACCAATATCAGTCTGCAGGGTCTCTGGCCTTTGGGCTGATATTGGTGCCTTGGGTCGATACAGGGTTTGATGTGGAAAATGGTATGTAGTATCCTCCATATATATAACATTATAAGGTACCCATAAAACATAAATTTGAATGATTTTTTCTTGTGTAATAAGTATAAATTAACCATTGTGTAAATCTCCATATTTACATGACCTATTTCTTTTTGCAGTATTATTCCCTATCGTTATGGAAATTGTATTTTAATTTACAAAGACAAGAACTTTACATTAACTGCTTCAAATTCCAGGTTCTTAAAATTCACGATTTGATAGGAACCATTTTTTAGGTGTCTGTCTGACAGATACTTTATTGTGTGTTCCAATAACCTTATTCACTAATAATTTGGTAAAAAGAAAATAATAAATCTTGAATATGGTGAAATTAAAACCACCATGTACTTGTAAGTCTTTTAAATCCAAAAGTGCTTAACATTAAAAAAAATTCAGAAAAAACATTAAATTTAATATGCATATCACCCTTTTAAATAAATATATGCATTTATTTATAAGAAAAAGAATGAAGAGCTCTTGTAATTTTGATCCGTCAAAACTTCTTTTGAAAGTCTAGATGTTGTATATTTAACACTCTATAAAATTATATTTTTCAATTATAGATGTATAGTTCTTTATATCAGTATTTGCATTAAATCTTCAGGTTTTAGGAAAATGCACACTTTTTATAAAATAAACAGCAATTAAAGAAATATAGGCTACAAGTTTGGATTTACGTGTACTCAGAATTCTACACGTACATGGATACGTTTAGAAATTTGTCATTAGCAAAACTGATGACGTAATGCACAGATTTCTGGGGGGAATCCCCTGCTACATGTAGGCGTACAAGTGAGCTTACTAAACCTCTCATATATACTTAATATACATTTTAAACAAACATAAAATCATTAAAATCTGTAAGAACTTATACTTTATCTTATGGTAATCTTAGATTTCCTTTCCTGCATGAAAGAAACTCACGAATGTGTCCAGACTTTTGTCTTCAAAATCGTTAGGAAAATAATTTTATTGTCCAGAAAAAGACTGATGTTTTAGGAATTACTAAAGCATTTTGGATCAAAATTTAAATCTCGGAATCCAACTTACATGTATATGTTGATTTTTAATGTTACAGTACATGTACATGGTGTTTTTGTCACTAGATGTTGAAGAAAATAATGCACTGTAAGATTATTCTCAGTAATAAGAAATAATTATCAATAACGAGATCTTGTCTCCAAAATGTCAACATTATGTACATCATAATACAACCAACTTTTAACAATATATTTAGCTGAATGCAAAACATGTTATTTATTGGTTCTTGGATTCTTAAAGCCATATATGACGTATTTTTTTAAAAGTTCAGATAACCAAAATTAAAAAGAACTTTCTATTTGTTTTATTACTTTATATAAAGATAGGACTTTTCTGTAAATTACACAATTCTAATTAATCGCTATTATTCAAAGATATCAAAAATTTAAAACAATAACCAATTTATTTAGGGACTCCACATTACATATTTAAATAACAGACAAAGTTTTGCGCCTCGTGTTTTTGAGTTAAGATTTATCTTGAAGAATGGTCCATAAGTAAATTAACTATGATTAAACTATGGAAACGTGAGATTATTCAAGTTCAAAATCAGTAAAAAGATTTAATTTGAAGTAAATAACATATCACATGTATATTTCACACTAAATCTTGTATTATTATTTTTTTTGCTCAGATACGCCATATATAGCTTTAATATTATCAACAGTATGAATATTGTGACAATTTACACAGTTATTTTTCTCCATATAGCAAGTCCACAATATGATTCAGGCAATTTGCTGCATTCCTCATTACAAATCAGAGATAGACGTTATATAACTTACATTTCTGCCCTTCTCTTTGGCTTTTTTGATAGCTGTGTGAACTTGCTGTGCATACTTCAGGCTTGGGTTGGCATCATCTTTATGCTTCCCTCTATACATATCAGGACAATCCACCTACAGAATGATAGTACAACCTATACATCCCTCTACACATATCAGGACAATCCACCTACAGAATGATAGTACAACCTATACATCCCTCTACACATATCAGGACAATCCACCTACAGAATGTCAGTATAACTTATACATCCCTCTATACATATCAGGACAATCCACCTACAGAATGACAGTACAATTTATTCATCCTTCTACACATATCAGGACAATCCACCTACAGAATGTTAGTACAACTTATACATCCCTCTATACATATCAGGACAATCCACCTTCGCAAGTTGACTCTAGAGTGCCATTTCCATGGGGAAAATTCTACTCTGCAGCCAGTTTTCCATGGGGGAAATCCTAATCTAAAGTTGGTTTTCTGGGAGAAATCCTACTCTAGAGTCAGCTTTCCAGGGCAAAAACATTTTAGGGGGGAAATCCTACTCTTCAAGACAGGTTACTTAAAGTAACCAGAAACCAAATGTCATGTAATTAAGTGGTCTGAATACAGATTGTCAGTTTAAACATAAATTTTTCTTTTTTCAAATCCTTTCTTCATGTTGATATTCTTAAAGCTAATGGCATCCTGATTTATCATGATTCATGAATCATGATTTAAATTTGAACCCCCCCCCCCAAAAAAAAATATTTCCAAAGACAGAAGGATGGAAAACAGACAAAACAAATACTGTATGCCCCGTCAATATTCATGAATGGACACAAAAACACCTCCGATTGTTTTCCTAAAAAGTCACCAAATCAGTAGAAAAACACTTACAAAACTTTGTATGTTTCATTGATTTTGCTGATTAATTTGCCTGATTATGAAACCCAGCAATCCCATCCTCAGATGAGCAATCCTGATCTATTTGCACTTACCACATGAACCCATTCTTTCTGGGTTATGCCGACCTTTTTCCACTTGGAAGGACTTAGGTCTAAAAGACTTCCTATGTTTCCATGGTAAGCACTAAAATATGACAAACAATATTTAATTAATCAATCACAAACGACGAACATTATTGATTTTGCACAACAATCATGTATTAACATATTTCAAGTTTTAATGTAAGGAATGATGTCTTCAGAAATGTACTATAACAACACAGATGACTTCATTCTGTTTACAGAGAATCATACACGATAACTCTCCATTCCTACATTTTTCAAAATGTTTTGCAATATTGAAGTTTTTATAAAATGCAGAGCAGATTTCATTAATAAAACAATTCTATAATACCTGCAGTGACAATTAACTGCTCTTAATTACAGCTCTGTTTGATAAAGGGGTGTGTTCCCGTTTTGCACACATTTGATAATTAGGTATAGAACAATAGGTGTGAAATATGTTTTGATAGCAATTATAGTCTGATCTTCGTCTGGGATTTACCTGGAATTACCTGTATTTTACCTATGCATTATAATAAATATTTAAGGGAATACATTATGAGAATTTTACTTATCCAACGAAGATGAAGTTGGTAGTTTAGACAAATATCCCTATCGCACATTTCACCATGTTTCTTTATTTCATAAAGGTAAAATGAATAAGTAAATGAATTCAATCTTAAATTAACCTGTCTAGTTAGTATCATGTCAATATAATCACACTTTTGTGTTATTTTTCAATGTTTTAAAATGATTTTTTTTTCAAGAATTAAGTCAAAATATCAAGTGCAAAATTAACTTTTCTTCTTCCTATTCTTTCCGTAGAATCTCTTTCTCCAAATTCACAACTATGATATAGACTATAGCAATAAAGTAATTATCTTACCTGGACAAATTCCCGTTTTGCACGCATTTTTTCAATACCTGAAATTCAAATGTGTGCAAAACGGGAACAAACCGATAAAGGGACATAAAATGTGTATTTATGTATTTAAGATATAGAAAATTGGTTCCTTTTAAATTAGAGACTTAATAATGGACCAACCAAGACAAATAAATATGTTAAACTTCTGTAAAATCATTTTATCAAATTTTTACAATAAAAATTTCACTTGGTCAGAAAGTGAACATTGATCTGTACTGACTTGTCAGTAAACATATATCCCAGCGTTTTTTTTTCCTTATATAACTGGTACCAATAAACGGTACCATTCCGAATGCCAAAAAATGTGAATTTTTCCCAATTTTGAGACTAAAAATTCCCAAATCAACTGCCAAGCAACTACAATCAGAGAATAGTCATAATATGGCGGGACCTGAGGTGTAGACAGCGTAGTATCATACGTTTTGACAAATTGAAAGCATGAAAATGTGAAAACAAGGGACATTGATATGAAAAACAATAAATACTTGTTGTTTATTCTTTAAAACACAGAGTAATAGGTAATGAGGTTGGAATAAAAGCATACTACATTTAATTTGTTTAAATGACAGAAAATTCTCCTTTGTTCTACTTCGATGCTATTTTTCCCAATTGAACCGGTACCAGACCTTTTCCCAATGGGCGTAAAAAAATCGCTGATATATCCCCCTCCTATGAAATAACCAAAGCTTTGGTATGAATTTGATAAATAACAATTCAAAATAACTGTGATAAGGAATTCACATTGTTTCACCTGGGTAGGAATGGGGTGAGGGGGGGGGGGGGGGGGGGGGGAGATGCTTTATAAATATTTAAAATATATTGTTCCTAGATTTCTTTAGTGAAAAACATGAGTTTTACTAAACTATTAGAGTAATCTCTCTTTGTTTTGCCAAATATTTCAATTTTTATGTAAATTCACATAAATATTTTACATAAATGAAATGAAGTACAATAATTTTTTTGAAATTCACTTGGAGGTAAGTTGCAAAATAATGCTAACCAGATGTACTTAATAATTTATATACATGTTTGACTGGATAATAAACTTACTGGTCAAGGACAATAAAATCTTCGTTCTTTGTGTAGGACTTGGCTAGCCGAAGGGCAAGGTCATTGGCTTCAGATCTGGAATGAATAAAAAATCCAGACATATGATTAAAATTTGACACAGACCTCTATGTTCTTTTCCAATCAAAAAAAGGGGGAGAGTAGGAATCTTTTACATGTTTTTTCATGTTCATTGATTGGTACACGATTATCATGTATTCAAGCACAAATGTGTCATGCATTTTATTATATACCAAACTGTGCATCACTCAATTTTATTGTTGTTTTCACGCAATCGTGACGGTGTGATCCGACATTTCAGATCACCACACTGTTGTTTTCTGAATCCATATCACTCCTCTCTGAAACTGATGACGTAGTACACAGTGTACATGACTTTTTTTTCTTGCATGTCAAAAAGTTCCTTGAAAAAATGTTTTGTTTCATGGATAAAAGATGAATAATTGATCCCAAAAGTTTCCTTTTATCATATTTTGTTAATTATAGAGGGGTATATAATAAATCTATCATTATAACAGTTACTTTATCCGAAGAGCCGTATTACGTCTCATTGACAGGCGCGGATCTTCAGATCAAACTCGATTCGTTTGATCTGATGATCTGCGCCTGTCAACGGGACGTGATATGGCACTTTGGATCAAGTTACTGTTATAATAATGTATATATATAAAATTCAATATGGAATTATGGTCAGGTATAACATACAAAAAAATTCAGTGAAACCTGTCTAATCTGATATGCACTTTTTTGTGTCAGAATAGACATGTTGTCAGATTACACAGTGTGAAGAACAAGGAAAACAGTAAGATTAGATTTTAAATAAGGGTCGGAATTCACAGCGAAATGGATTGTACAGGTGTCAGATTAGACATTTTTTCATTGTATTTTTAACTAGAAAATTCCGGGTAAATCAAATCTGCATCTATAAGCAGTATTAAATATTCTGTATCTTGTCTTACACTTAAATTTAAACCATAGGCACTCCTTCTTGTAATAGTGAAATAACATGTTCTGACTGTATAATCCTAGCTTTAATCCCAACCTTAACACAGGTCCACAAAGACCTACTTATAAGCAACACAGATTTATTGTACAGAGGATATTTATATTTTTATTTTCCAATTATGATAGTTAGTGTCCAGGATTTAAACTTGGGGAGAAAAAAAAATATACAATTAACCAGATGTACTTCACATGTACTTGGTATTTATATCAAGGTTTCAAACTGGATCAGTTTTACTCCTCATTCCTGGTTGAAAAGTTCAGTTACCAGTTATTTAATACCCGATTAAAAACATCATACACACTTTATACCTATCTTAGACCTAAACTTTTGAACAGCAATCCAGCATTCACTCTGTTATTACATTCATAAAAAAAAATTATTTGCTTAACAGTCTGGCAAAGAGACTACAGATTTTCCTTTTAAAATATTGATTTAATTAATATTTCCCATGAAAAGCAATCATTAGGTGTCCAGTACATATTTCAAAGACACTAATTAATTTAAAAAAAAAAATGACTCAAGAACTTGGGGATATCTGCCATATTTACAATGTTTATGAATAAACTCCATGTAAGGTGAATGCTGTTGTTTGTTCAATTCTCTGACAAGTTAGATGAACTCCCAATTCAAATCAGCTTTTCATAAAAAAACACATTTACCTTGGAAATGTTTTCAGGAATATTTTCTTTTTTCTATTTTCTTCAATAGGCAAATTCAGAATTAATTTCAATAGACCAAACATAAAGCAAACATAACATCCTCTTCCATTTCGAAAATTAATCGAAAAAGATCAATTAATCGAAAAATAATTGAAAAACAGGGTAAAACTATATGCCCATGGCCATTTTATGGCAGAAGCATAATAAATGATTTTGAGATTGTAAGTATATTGAACCTTGGTCGCATTGTTAATCCCACATTTGCTTCAGTTTTATACCTTAGGTCTGTTTTGATGCAGATTCATCATTTATTTTGAAACTACTATGAATAAAGTTTCATGCTTTTAAATAGATTTACCATGAAAAAGGATAGATCCATCATTTCTTCCAAGTTTCATGAATTACAAACAATCTGTCTTTACACTCTATTGTATCGTAATCTGTACTTCATTCAATCACCTCAGCTTAACAGATCAGTAACATGGTATGTTAGGTGAAACATTAATGTACAACAAACTGTAAATGTTTAATGTTAAACACTACTGTACAACAATCTACAACTGTTTTACCCTGAGTTTAGGAAGAAGCAAACACAGAGCTGATCTGGAAGGGTCTCGATGATGCGCTTGGCGTATTCCACCATCTTATCATCCAGGAAGCCTGCACTGGTGACCAGCTTTCCCATCTGTTCCTGCCCAGCATGGACAACATGGGGATGACAGTGACCAACTGAAAGGAAGACACACAGATCATCAGTTCTTATAATCCAAAAAATGTTAGCACAAAAAAAAAAACAAAAACAAAATTCAGCACTGAGGCATTGCTTGAGTTGTTTAATATAGTACATCCACTTTAAGATTTGTTGGAGTACTCACCATGTGACACATTGCTAATACAGTCTAAGTATTCACATCCATTGTCATCATATAAATATTGCTTTGATGCCCGCACAATCTTCAAGGGAGATACTTCAAAATGTAACTTGCATGCTCTCCTAGTAAATGAAAAATATTATTTGAATACATCAACAATACAAATGCCTTCTTGCACCCCCTTAAGATCAGGCTTTGGGGCCATAAAACTTAGATGAGCTCACTTTTGATCTCAATCTCACTTTTCCACAATTAATTCTATAAGTAAAAGTGACTCTGAAACTTTAAATTTTTACTTTTTAAATTATCTTTGACTAAGAAGTAAATTACAATTGTATGTCAAGTATTTTAATATTTGTAAAGTTATGGATGTAATCTCTCCGAGTTTCAAATGGACATGTTTAGAATATTGTACAAATAAATCTGCTGAAAATCTGTTATGATCCTACTTCAAAGCCACAGAATGTTCTGAAAACATCTCCTTTTTTTTAAAATTTAAATCAGTCTGAGAGTCTGCAAGGACTGCTCCTTTAAAACATGTGTTTAATGTATGTATCTCTACTGTTCCAATAAATCTGGTACATGTTCTAAACATTGTCCACATTGGCTTTTCTTGTCTCTAATAGATTTGTTCTTTTTAATATAAGTTTCTATGGAGGAATAGTACATGTGGTGAAAAAATGAAATAAAAAAAATGTATAAAGGTCAAAGTTCAATTTGAGAGTATGTATATAAACTAATATTTTTAAGATATAAATTTTAGAATTTCAATGAAAAACTACAAATCACAATGCAAGTTACAATATATTTAACACTACAGAAAAAAAGAACTTTAATTTATTTAAAAGGAATACTTGAAAATAATGCAAACCAAATCTTACTGACTTGAATGCTGCATGCTTTTTTTTTAATTCCAGGAAAAATAGTGATTTCTCAAAATCTAGATTACAAATTTGTTCTTTGAGTACAAAAGTAATAAATCAAGTCACAAAGGCATGTACTTTCCCAAGGTCCCTTAAGTGATAAAAACCCTGCACTGCGTCAGACAAATGAAATTCAGTAGTTTTTAATTGAATTTGCTCAGGCAGTAGAATCAATTTTAGGGGGCCAACTGGGCTTTTAACTGAGCAATATTTCGTTCAGCATAGTAAAATCAAACATATTTACACTTTTAAAGCAACTATTTGCACATAATTTATCAAATTTAACAAAAATTAAGAAATCACAGATTAAAAATCTAATAACAATTTTTAAAGAATTGATTTTTTAGTGATTTTTCAACCGATAGGCAGTGGACGTCGTAATAGTGTGTTTGTGTCAATATATGTTAAACTGAAGTTCTTTAAGAGGGGGTCATAAAAATGATTTCCTGGTAAAGAAAAAAGTATAAAATATATTCTCTTGAAATTTTAAAAACAGAAAACTGAAAATCTCACAATTATTCAGAATTTTTTGTATAAATCATTAGTATCTGTCATATTTTCTAGTACCCCATAAAACAGGAAATTTTCATAATTTTTTACTTTTTGTCAATTGTCATTTATTAGTTCTCCTCTCCAGAATACAAGTATCAACTTTCTCGAAATAAATGAGTTTTTTTCACTCTGATATTTAAACAATACCTCAATAAATTCAGCAATGTCTTTGAGATGCCCCCTCTGGAAACCAGATGATAGAATTTTGCGTTTCTTAGTATAGTATTACTGATCATATATTATAATATTTGTAAAATTTGCTTTGAAATGCAAAAAAACCTACATGTAGCACTTTCCCATATAAATTATAATCCTATAGTAAATGTGTCTGTATTTTGAGAAGGTCCCTAAAAATACCCAGACCATAGATTTTCTTTAAACTTGGCATGTAAACTGAAGTCAATGTGAGTTACATATGATATAAAACTGAAGAGTTTTTACACAATAAAACCCCAGTCTGCTCCCTTAAAAGCTACATTCTATCATACTGGCAAGGATTTGTCATTTATTAGTTCTCCTCTCCAGAATACAAGTATCAACTTTCTCGAAATAAATGAGTTTTTTTCACTCTGATATTCAAACAACACCTCAATAAATTCAGCAATGTCTTTCAAATAAAGAAAAGTAAGACTCTACTGTAAAAACAGTAGATCCGGGTCATTTTTCTTTTTTCCTCATTTCATTTCTCTTCATTGTGTGTATGTAATTTGAGGTGACTATCACGTTTTTCCTTGATGTGTTTTGTAAATTTAATGTTTAAGAAAAGCAAGTTGTATAATCATTCAACCTCTTTCAACTCTTACATAAGTTTGATGAACAAACCTTTTCATTCATTAAAACCATCCTGTAATTTGAGTTTAATCATACAGAAAATAAAATCTTAGATTTTTTGGTGTGCCTTCTTTCTAGTTCACACAAATACGAAGTAACTGAAATTTTTCTGTTATTTCATGCTGAGAGTTGACTTTACAGACCCTGCTATGTTCTATTTTCCCATTTGCTCACAGTTTGTTCACCGTGCACTCACTGTTCACTCTCCATTCACAGTTTTGCATAATCACTGTTCATGAACAGCTCATGCTCAATGTTCATTCACCTTGTGTACACCGTTTGCTCACCATTTGTTAATGCAGCAATCCCATATCATTCAACCTTTATTGTCATTTGGAACTCAAGTGAAAGGATCAATAAAATGAAATAGGACCATGTGCACAAGGGGTGGAAGGAAACTTTAACATAACATCAGAATTCAGAAATATAATTTTGAACTTCAAAACATCTTGATTATCACCAGTAGAAATCGAAAGGAAAGCCCAGTCCTCATATTTTGTTGCACTTTCTTGTAATTCAATACTTGCATACATACAGGGATTAAATTTGTGGCTAAGGGTGACCCTCGAAATCAACGAACATTGGTCCGCAACGAACAATGATGATTCCACAGTATGATTGAATTTACATCTTTAAAGGGTATAATTTTCTGTGTTCTATAAAAAATAAATAACCAGAAATATCAAAGTTGAAACTGATTTGGTTAGTACAGTTGAACTTCAGTATCTTGAAAATTGATATCTCGAATACCATGGATATGTCAAAGTGATTTGGAAGTCCCAACTCCTTATTCCTTAAGTACTTTACCCTGAATATCTCAAGTCCTCGGATATCTCGAAGTTTTTTCTTGGTCCCATTGAGTTTGAGATAATGAGGTTTGACTGTATCTATAATTGTTTTTACCCATCTACATGTAAAGGACAAAATGATTGTAACCTACATGTATCTATTTCTTTCAGGAATTTGAAAACTTTTGAAACATTTATCTCTAATGGAGATGCCACACCCTGACATTTTATTTGATGTAATTAATTATGACATTTTGTTGTCAAACATGTTGAACCACAAGAAAAATCAAATAATTATTTTTCTTAACATAATCATTTATTGTTGTTTGTTAATTGGTGTGGTAAGTGGTTTTTCTTCATGTGTGACATATTCAACTGCGTTTAAATACACGTTCACGTATGTCTTACAAGAAACATAAATGCATATGTATCAATTGTGTATGTACAAATGTATCATCTTTATTTAATTTATTGATGCCAATACTGCAAAATTTACTCCCTGGTTAAATTTACTTATTTTTTTGTCTCATCTGATTATGGAATAAGTACAATATGAGGAAAACACCACAGGTCTTTCATCATTCAAACTGTGCTCATGACTGCACTCTGTCCATGCTCTGCATTCACTCACCATTCCCTAACCATTCTACAAGTTGCATTCAGCGTTCACACACCGTTCATTCACTGTTTGCTCTGTGCTTGTTCAGCATTTGCTCACCGTTCAACCACCTGGCCATTCAAGTGGGAAAGTAGAACATTTCAGCGACTGTGACACTCTCAATTTTAGATTCTGTCCATGAGGTTCATAAAGCTCATGTCTATGAAGGATTTTTATTTCAATATTTAACTCTTCTTCCTCTCTGCTTTTTTTTTTTTTAATTTTATTTCACAAGAAAAATCTTTTTTTTTTTTATTAAATTTGTTAAAATATTCACCCCCTCCCCTCAAAAATTACTGCTAACACTAAATGCATCTGTACCACATTATTTGAAAGTAAAAACAATCTCTAGATTATAGCTGTTATCAATTTACATCCTTGTTTGAATATCCATGAAAATATATTTTAAATGCAAAATAAGAAAAAGTTGGGTCAAGGTCATAGAGAAGGTCAAGGTCAGAAAATTATGCTAAAATCTCTTATCAATATGCATCAGTGTATGAATTTTGGTACATATGTATAAAGCCTAAATAGTTTCTTCGAAACTGAGCTATTAATGCAAAGTATGCCGGACAGACAGACAGTAGGTTGGAAATACGGAAGGTTGGAAAGATGGAAAAGCCATGACAAACACTATGTACCTTATTCATATTTATGGTAGGGCATAAAAAAGCCAGAAAGCAGTTATTGTCTAATTGACTATTTTATCAATGAATATTCTTTGAAATTCAGGGCACTGAACTATAGTGCAAACCAACCAAAATTTACATATCAGGACATAGGCATGAATGAAAATTTCAGTGCAGCTGTACCATAGTACAATGTAATATGTCTATAGAAATTCCCCTCTGAAAGCAATTTTCCACTTCAAACAGAAATTTTAAAAAAGTATTCCAACATCTCCAGAACTACTCAATCTATGAATCTCCTGTGTCCTCTTCAAATTCAAAATTGTCATTATTTACTATGACAGTGTATCTTTTAAAGACATACAATATTGTATCCCTTTTTTACAAATGAAATGTAAAACCCTGCTAAACACATCTCTGTTTTTTTTAATGTAGACTACATGAAAAATACTGATTAAAAAAAAATTACACTCGATCAAACAATCCCAGTAATGGTAAACTTATAAGAGATTACAGGTATCAAACTATTCTACCAGTTGAAAACGCCAAATTTGATTTTTATTATTATTGATATTAATATTGGAAAAAAATGATCACAATGCAAGTTACACAATAAATGCACAGTCATAAAAACAGGAGAAAACATAGTCGGCATACCTGACATCGATTTTAACATCTTCATGATGAAGTCGTGCCATCTCTACTCGACTGTGGTATTACGCATATCCAAAAGTGAAAAAA